AGTACAAGCTTCAATAAAAGTGAACTTGCCGCAAATTATGAGAGATATTTGAAAATGAATTCAAAGTGCAGCCAGAAAGTTTCAATTTTCCACACATTCCGGTGAAATTAACCAATTTCCCCCTTCTAGAGTGGATGCTTATCACCTAAGCTACGCATCAATCAGTCGGTCAATCAAACAGTCACTCGATCAATCAGCATTTGCTTGTATCAATATTTTATACATATATATATATATATATAGAGAGAGAGAGATAAATAAATGTCTTAAATACTTACTCAATAATCTTAGCGATGTTTTCCATGATTCAAATTAGTTTAAAATACAAATTTATTATTTGAAATGGCGAAGAAAAACGCGATTTAAATCTTGAAATAATCGATATCGATGTCTACTTAAACACATTTACACAACACTAAAAAAAAAAACATAAAAAAATATTCACTTGAACTTTGAAGCACTTTCCAACACACATTTGCGAATTAATTGTCAAACTGGACTTTATTTAGCTGAGAACCGTGTTTGCACGCATTTGCCCTTTCGACTGATTTTCTTAGTTGATTTTTTGGTTAATTGAAGTGCATTCTGTTGTTGCGATTCGATACTGTGTCTAACATGGGCCGGCCACGCAGCATCGAGATCCACAAATTGGTGGAGATGCTTCCGAATAAACAATATTGTCGCTGCATTCTGTGCGACAAGTTGCTGAGCGGCGCGGTCCGGAGCAATATCAAGCGGCATTACGAGCGCCTCCATCCGGAAGTTGTCCTGCCCAAGGCTAAGAAGAGGAAGCATTTAACGCACTTGAAAACTTCCAGCAACAATGGCAAGTCCACATTCGACATACATATATCTGGGGAAAGGGAAGGGGCAGATGTTCCATAAATAATACTGAGATTGGATGAATAACAAAGTCGCAAAGTTGCAATCGGCTTGAGCCGACTGCGCAATACTCTGTTAAAGAGTTTTTTTTTTTGTTTTGACTTCAAAACTGTAACGCAGTTACTTTCAAACTGTGTCTAGTTGAGGGCTATTTTAAGAGAGTCGAAATTGGTCTCTTTGGATATTTTGGCTGACTTTAAAATTGTTCTCTTTGATGATAGCCTGCTTGAGTCTAGAACTGTAACGCAGTGACTTTCAAACTGTGTCTATTTGGGGGTCTAAAATGGTCTCTTTGAACATTTGACTTTGAAATGACTTTAAAACTGTGATAAAGTCACTTTCAAACTATATTTGTAGAGGACATAAAATGTTCTCGTCGATGATAGAAATGCAAATCAGTTACCTTAAAACTATGCTTAGTTGAGGAGTCTTTGGCTATTAGCTTCATTGACTCTAAAACTGTAATAAAGTTAATTGAAAACTGTATATATGGGGTCCATTTCGAAAGAGCCTAAAATGAGCCCTAACTCTAAAACTGTATGCCAATAATTAAATTGCCTAAAATGTACTCTGTAATGATAGCTTGGTCGACTCTAAAACTGTAATGCAGGAACTTAAAAACTACATATTTCTGGGATATAAAACGTTCTATATTTCGCTTTTTCGTTGCCTGACTCTAAACTGTAACGCAGTGACTTTCAAACATGTCTATTTTAGGGAAATATATTAATGTTCATTTTGATGATAGCTTGGTCGACTCTAAAACTGTTGACTCATCAAACTGTAAGCCAACAAGTAATGTCTTTCCAACTGTAACAAAAGGCACTGTGGCCTTTTGATTATGAGACGAATAAAGGGGGGGAGGGAGGGGTCCGCGTGGGCGTGGTTGCATAGCTATGAATCATATAGATATGTAGATATAGATATGTATCTATACATATAAATATCGGAAAGCGGCGAACAAAGGCACGTTTATACAGACAGAATATGCCCCTTTTAACTCTGTGAACAGAGTATATTTGCCTCGCAATCACAGTCTACATGTGTCCAAATACGCCCTGTTATCCAAGTATTGCCAAGTCTTGCATTCAACGAGTCAAACTAAATAAAATACTGTTGAAAAATACCAAAATGTCAAACTTTTTGACACATATCGGTTATCGATATCGATAAAACTGGGAAAGCACTCGCAAGTGACATATCTGACCGTGATTGGACCTTAAAAAAAAAACTATTTGGCCAAAACTTTTTGCGGCCAACAAAAGCTTTTTGTGCATACGTTAAGTTTGGATAAGTCCGACAAATAATACTCATTGATCTTGAGTGCAAGGGATAAGGCCGGCTTTAAGGCTTAACTGCGAGATTTTCACATTTCTTTTGCTCGCCTGACAAGCCGCCATTTTGACAGACAAGAAATCCTTTCGATTTCGACTGTAAAGCTGTAAAGAATAGTTGATGGACTCTGAACTTAACTAAATTGTATTGTTTCCATTAAAACAGTCGAGCACGTGAAAATGGAACAGAACGGAAAAGTAACGAAATTGAACAAAAATCGCGTACGCAAATGCATCGTGGATTGGAACAGTCGTGTGGTGCAGGCGCTCGTCGAGAATGTGCGAAAGAACGAGAACCTATGGAATCCGCATCATTGTTTCTACAAAGATCGCATCATAACGCGAAATGCTTGGGAGAATGTTTCGGCTGCCATCGATGTACCGAAAAGCGAGGCAATCCTCAAATGGCATTCCATACGTTCCAGCTACAGAGTGAGTACAAAGGATCGAACCATTGTATCTATCTAGGAATATCTGGGGCTATATAAATACCCCAAAATAGAGTTGTGTCATTTAGTTCAGACCAAGTTCAATTGAACGGGTCATTTGAATGAACTACTGAACTTATTCAGTGATTAGTGAACCAAATCGGTCATTTAGCTCACTCGTTCAGCTATTCAGTCGTTCATGAACGATGTATTCTGTACTCGTTCAGTCGTTCCTGAACGATGTAACTTAGCAACTCAGCAGTTCAGTCGTTCCTGAACGATACATTCTTTTGAGATGTTCAGCTCTTAATAAACATTAAAGATATCGGGATATTAATTTAACTTTTGATTTGACTGCATAACTGAACTAAGCGAATAGTTCATGACCGACTGAGTAGCTGAACGAGTGAACCGATTTAGTTCACGGCCAGAAAATGAACGAGCAGATTGAACTAGAAATCCCCACTCTACCCTAAAATATTGATGGCTATTTCCTAGAGAAGAGTTGCGATATTTTGACCCAGACTAAAGACGTCTTTGATCCCATTAAGTATACGTATTCGTGGGGTTTAATGGCATAGGCCGGAATTTCTTGCGTATAGCTGCTATTGGAACAATCGAAAGCTGAGTTTCGTTATGGACAACTTTCCTAGTTTTCAATTAGGATCTTCACAATATCTATATTCATATCATATGGCAGCTATAACAATATTTTCCAATCTATCTGAAAGCCATAATAGATTTGTATTGAATCAAGAATTGAGGCTTTATTAATAAATACCACATATATTATTATGGATCATTTTCTTTCTGCTTTTTTAATGTATATCATATGGCTCATAGGGCATCAAGCAGAAATCGATTCAAAATAAAGCCCTACTATAACCGGGTCTAAAAGGTTATTTCTAATTCCAAAAAATATCGAAAAGTTTCTGAAAAGACTTGGATTCATTTCGAGCATATCGTCCTGCATATGTCGGCTCCATTTTCAATATGTATACATATATCATATACATATCTTATACATATTTTATATATATATCATATATTTCATATATCCTTTGCCTTCTGCGCTCTTCTGCAGACGCATTTGAAAAACCTGCAGGAGTTCAGATCCGGACAGATTGTCAAGGACAAGAAACCAAATCCATTATATTCAACAATGTCCTTTCTCGATTCTGTCATGAAGTTTCCGCCCACAAATCCTCAACTGACTACGGTAAGTATTATTATATCATTCGCTATATAGATATTATATACATAAAGTATATACTTGGATAGCATCCAGCAAACAAACAGGCCGCAACATATGAGACAAGCCGAAAACCCTTTCAGCTCCGAGCTAGCGATAATATCTGGGATGGCAGCCTGAGGAAAATGGAGCCCATCCAGGCGCTAATTGCCGGCAAATTGATTAGCAGCGTCCTCATCCAAGGCCAATTGGGCCAATTGAGCATGAGCAGCAATATCGCCCATAATACGCCCAGGCTGTTCGAATCGTATCGTGAGTCGTTGAATGCATAAGGAGAACATACCCCCTCCTACCCCCTATACCTCCCCGCCCCACAATTTAGACCTAATTAAAGTCCCTAAACATTTCACAAATCTACATAATCCTTATCTAAAGTCACCTAAGCGATATATATCGGTAGCGGTATTGGACTATCGGATAAAGAAAGCCAAAATTGTAAGCCGAAGATTTGATACCCTTGCTGACTTTGAAGAATTCGCTTATGTTTAAAAATTAGATATATATTTTGCCACACATAAACTCATTTTTCAAGCGACATACATATACATATGTATATATGGTATGGTATACCCGCATTCACGCTGAGCTAATGAACTTAGGGTATACCAAATGCTTGCTTAGTACAAACTCCTGTATGTGTGCGTGCAAGGCCGCCACATCATTTGATAATAATAATACCCTAATATATTCTGGTACGTACTCGTTCCAGAACTACCCCGTATTGGATGTCCGACATTCAGAAGCGTTGAGACCTTGGTGGAATTGCTGCCAAACAACATACATTGCCGTTGCTTGCTGTGCGGCGCTATGATGCCATATCAATATGATAACATAAGAGAGCATTACGAGAGCTACCATCCAAATTTGGCCGTTAATCAACACGCAGCAAGCAATGCGTCGACTGCAGCCAACGCGCCGAGCAGCACGCGTCAAAGTCAATGCAATCTAATGGTACGTACACACTCACACACCCACACGAACAGAGAGCACAGAGAGCGACACAGAGAGACGCACTCACACACACATGTATATATGTATACGTTACTCACACAAGCAGGCTGGGAACCGCAACAGAATTTGTGTCGTTCCATTTAGCATAACTCAGTTGAACGGCTTAATGAATTAAACAATTGAGCTTATTCGAGTGATTTTGTTTAATTGTTCAATCGGCTGGTGAACTAATTTATTTATTTCTGTTTACGTACGAAACAGGATATCAATACTTTTTCATCAGCTGTTTAGTGTTTTTCATGGGCCCACAAAAAGCTGCTTAGATTTGAACAGTTTCAGCTGTTTTGCCTTTGTTGTTGTTGTCTTCTTGGTTTTATTTTTTATTTAAAAGTCCGACTGGCTGAACAACAACCACAGCGTTGTGAAAGAAACATACATAAATGACCCTCAGATTCCACAACGTGTTTAGGCGCGCAACAACAACAACAACGGCAGCAGCAATAACAGCAAATGCAAGTACAACAACAAAAGACAAACCGTTTCAAACCGGTTCAGCGCGTCGCATGCTCTCGTCGTGCTGTGCGCGCGCGTGTGTGTGTGCGTGTTTCTGTGTTGCTGTGTGCGCGAGCTTACCTAATGCGCCTGTTTCTGCTGTGTGTATGTGTTAGAGCGCGCGCGCGCGTGTGTGTGTGTGTGTGTGTATACGTGTGCTTTGTATTTGTGTTCCACTACGAACCATTCGCTCTGAACCGCACTCAGTGCGCTCTTTGCAGAATTGCGCGCTGCGACGGCCGTGCGAGTGGAAGCGAGAGGCAACTAACTACGCTGGCCTGGCACCGGTTCATAAATTGGTTCCTGCTCTGGTTTGGCTCTCAGCTGTGCGACGTTTCTCGTTCAGTAAACGAACGATACTCAAGTACGACGCACGCTTTGCTGTTGTTTTTGATTTTGTTCATTCTTTCATCTCAGCAATATTATTATTTTGGAATTGTCGTTGTTTGTTATTATTATTAAATATAATTGCCGTTGTCCGTAGCCGTGCCCATTGTTGTTGCTGTTGAAAATGTCGCTAAAGCGTTATAAAAATCCAGTTAACAATCATTTCATTTACAACGATGAAATCCGCAAAAGCACATGCAAAGTGTGCTTATTCGATATGGCCGGCAGGCACTCGGAGAACCTGATGCGCCATCTCAAGCGCAAACACCCGGCCACGTACGCCGAGGTGATGCTAGAGAAGCAGCGCCGCCGATCGGCCAATTCGAATCGATCCGGTTCAGATACTGGGCCCTTGTCGTCCATGTTCAAATTCGAGACGCAGCCGCATAAGTTATTTATCAAATCGGTAAGAATTCTATATCACACTATATCGTATATATTGGCGATACACACACACACACACACACACACATGTATCTCTTTGCCCGCAGTTGCGTTATTAATTCCCACTATGCTTTATCTTTCATAAATATACACACATACATACATATCTAATTACTATATAATGTATGTGTATGTGTTTTACAAAACCAAAAGGAAAAATTGGCATTCAGACTTGACGAACCTGGCCAACAGCAGGTAATAATATACACACAGATCAGTTAACTAAACTGTCTCTCTCTCTCTCTCTCTCTCTCTATCTCTGTCTTGCTCTCACTCGCTCTTGCTGTAGCTGTTAAGGTCTTTCTAACACTCCAGTTTGCTCTCTTTATATATCCTCTATATACATATATGTATATTCTTACATACAGTTACTTGCTCCTGAAATCTCTTTCGACTTTAAGATACCCTTGCCCTATGCAGATAGGCTAGTCGAGAGCTATAAGATATAGTCGTCCGATATGGTTAAGATTTTGGCTTAACTATAATCAAGAGCTTTGGCTAATGAAGATTATCTGATGCTTTTGCTCTGATGCTCTGCATGCGAATTGCATTCGTTTATTATATATGTATGTATATTAGATTATATTCCATACTGATGCTTGTTTCTTTTGGGCTTTTCAGATGCCCATCGGGGCCGGATGCCCCAATGATTATGAGGAGGACACATCCAGTTTGAATGGCAACGGCCAATTCGAGAGCGTGGACATTGGCAAGGAGGAGCTGTGCGAGGTGGTCCACTCGCCGGAGGCATTAAACGATTCCAGCGAATCGTTCATCTATCCGGACAATCCCAACGATGAGGATCCATTCATAATGACCAATTTCGCCCAGGCAAACACAATGGGCAGCCCGAGCACTAATTCAACGCCCGCCCCCCAAACGGGCAACAGCTCGAACAATGCAACGGCCAGCAGTTCCATGCACTCGTCCAACGATGCCAGCTTCCTGCAATACCTGAGCGATAAGTTTGGCAAATACAGCTCGAACACCAAATACACGGTGCAATACCATATCAATTGCATATTGTACAAGGCCGACATGGGCTGTTACGATAATGCCGACGCCTCCAAGTTGCCCGATTCGTATGCATAGGCACTCCATATGTACATATATACACATGCACATACACATATACATATATATATATGTATATGTATATAATATATATCCAACTATGTTAAGCACGCCAATTATATACATAATACATAAAGACATTTCGTAGCTTAAATCGGAATAAGTAGTTTCCAACTTGATTTGTTCACAAAGCAAAACTATATTAAAACCAATAAACCCAAATATGTGTTAGACTCGTCTCTAAAGCTATTATAGATTATATATAACGATCTGCATAAACATGTACATATATATATATATATATATATGTAAATAGCCGTGTTTGTCTGTCTTTAAGATCTTACACATATCGCAACTGATAGATCCGTACTACTCTACTATATGTACTATATATAATCGGGCAAAACAAGTAGTTCTAGCATTAACAACTTTTTGGTTCCACATAGAAAAGTTGCTCTATAACGATTTCTATATATGTACATATATAGCCGGAATCAGTTATAGAACTTTTGTGGGTTTTACATATATCAGAGTCGAGCGATTCGGCAAAATATATCATATAGCTGATAATGTAATAATAGCTGCAAAATTAAGTTCTATATGGGAATCCTTTTTCTTGTTTTTTCCCTAATATCTTCACCAAATGAGCTGCACAATTCTCCCAAGTCCAAGCCCAAGCCCATCTCAGCTCAGACCACATACCATAGCATATGGCGTCTATGGGAACAATCCGAAATTAATCAAGTTTAATGTATCTAAAGGGTTAACTCTATAAGGTTGTCTATTTCGGGTTTTCGATCTTAGCCAACTTTGCTGCAAAATCAATCTTTGAGCACATTTGAAGTATCCGTTTCTGTGTATCTGAAGTTTTTGGCGTACTTTCTTTTGGCAGCAAAGTGGAACTTGCACTAAGCCACATTCCAGTTAATATGCATATGCTTATCCTCTAACTTATTCGGTTCGTGTTAACCTTGAGAGAGCGCATTGGCTGCCCAGATTGGGTCAACTAGCCGCAAAGTTCACATTCGGTTGCGCCACAATCCCACGCTCCGTCCTCCGTGCTCCGTACTCCGTGATCCGTGCTCCGTACTCCTCAGCCAGGGGTCAACAGCTGAACAGCTGCTTTTCGAAGCATTCAAATTTTTGGCTACTTCATGCTGATGCGAGACTCTTGCCCAACAAAGTATTACCTTCTGTTTGCTTTTACTTTTTTTTTTTTTTTGTTTTTCCTTCTTGGGGCTTCATTTACTTTCCTGCGGCGCCTGAAATTTTGCATTTGCCCGGGGTATAGACATTTTGTCATCGATTTTGTTTCGTTTTCAAAACGATTTTTTCCAGTTTTTCAATATCTTCATTATATATTCATATACTGTTTGCAGCGAACAGTAAAAACTGCCTAAATGAACCAGTCTTCAAGTTCGCTTCGTGAACTAGTTTTTTTTACAAGTTCATAACTAGTTTCATCACATTTTGCCAAAAATATTGCTTGGTTGCGTTGCGGTTCGGCTTTTTATTGGTTTTCAGTTCCAGACGGAACTAGTTCAATTGCAGGCTGCTCTGCAGCCCTGGTTCTATGCCACATGCAGCTGTGCTCCGTTAGGGCATACAAACGTCGTCTTCTCGTGCTGGCTCATTGCGTCTGGGCAGGGCGTGGCAAAAAAGGGGCCCAATTGATGTACGGGCTGTTGGCTAAGCGGGCGCAATGAAAGGAAGAGCTAAAATGTCTGATTGCTAGTGTGTGCGCTAGTGTGTGTGCGTGTGCGTGTGTGTGTGTGTGTGTGTGTGTGTGTATCTTGTGTACACACACACAAGTGAAGAGAGTATCTGTGACACCATCGGCCGGCAAGGGCCACGTTTAGGGCTTCGTCTCTGCCTGGCTTCTACGAATTTTGAACCTGCGCGTCTGTGTGTCTGTGTGTGTGTGTGTGTGTGTGTGTGTGTGTGTGTGCCTGTGTGTGTGTGTGCGTGGCTGTGTGCGTGGCTGTGTGTCTCGTGCATATAGGGGCGCCCTGTGCGGCTAACCCCCGTCGCAGCCAGCCACCGTTTCGGTACGTAACGCGTCCTCGTCATCTTCTTGGCGATTATTAAAGGTTCGTTATCAAATATGTTGGATGCGAGCTGCTTGCCGCATGCTGCATGCCGCATGCTGCATGGGACATGCAGCTCGTGGTGCATAAAGGCGTCATTTCATTTCTGCTGCAGTTGAAATGCAAACACAAAAGACACACACACGCACACAAGCTTGGCCTGGCAGCAGAAGCAGCGCACACATAATACCAAAGCCGTTTACTTAGCTGCAAACACAGAGTCACACACCTGCCGCCCTTCGCTGTTGTTCCTCGCACACACACACACACACACACACGCACACAAGCGCACGCAGGCCAATGCACCGTGCTGAACCATTATTGGGCTCTGCTTGCATTGGTATTGGATCTGGAACCGGAACTGGAACCTGGAACCTGCACAGTAGCCAACGTAGCCACAAGCATTAAATAAATAGCATGATAACTGTTTATCCTTGCGGATTGATTGACTGCCGGACTGACTAATTGATTCATTGATTGACTGGCTTATTGACTTGATCACTGTTTGATTGAATAACTGCAGGAAAGAGAGAGAGAGATCGACTGTCTGGCTGACTGACTGACCGACAGAGTATCTGTTTGACTGACTGATTGATTAGCTGACTGATTACATGATTGAGTGGCTTATTGACTGACAGACTGGTTGATTGATTGACTTACAGACTATCTAATTGATTGGCGGACTGATTAACTGATTGAGTTGTTTATTGACTGACTGATTGATAGACTATCTGATTGATTGAATGACTGTTTAGCTGACTGAATGGTTTATTGGCTGACTTATTTATTCGATGACAAATTTATTTATTGATTGAACGACTAATTGACCTACTCACTGATTGATTAATGGATATACTGACTGACTGATAGCACACTAACTGATTGATTGACTGACAGACTGATTATTTGGCGACCTGCTTGACTGATTGACCAACAGAAAATCAATATGATTGACTGACTGATTAACTGATCGAATGGTTTATTGAGTGACAGACTGGCTGATTGACTGGCGGACTGATTGATTGGCGGACAGACTGATTGATTGATTAGCGAAGTTAAAGTTTCAATTGTGGACAATAACAAACCACATTGACTGTGAGCCAATCCCAATATTAATGTCATTTTCATTTCAGATTTCAAGATACATATAAAAAATATATAGTCAAAAAATTAGAAAAAAAAGTACAAATATAACAGTTCACAGGTGAAATCTTGCAACATATTCCAGACCATATTAGAACCGGTATTTTTTTGAGTTGAAACCTCCTAATTAAATTTATTTCCACTCACATATATAGATAAATAACTGTAAATACTTACCCCAAAATTGACATACTATATGTATGAATTTGAGCACGCACGACTATTTGATTGTCATCTAATTGTAGAAGGCAGACAGACTGAGCTCTAAAATAATAAAAAAAAAGTGAGATCGGATTAGAGTAAGAGCAGGAGAAAGAATAAAGAATAATAACACAATTTCTTTTTATAATTAGTTGATGCTTTTAATTTTAGTTAATTGATAATTATTAAAGCATAAAGTTCTGCAAGTCCTCCTTCATTTCATGAGAATCGCATAGTAGGGCGATATTCAAAATTTGTTTTTGCGAGCGTAGACAATATTTACACGTTTGCTAGGACTGAAAATACATGCACTCATGCAAACATACATAAATACATGCAGACATACACACTCAAATACATTCATACATGCATTAAGACCAAATTATTAAGAGCTCTAATAACAAGCTTGCGACTAATTGGAAAGAAATTGCTTTTATTTAAGAGTTTTGCAGCCATTTTCTAAAATTCGTGCTTTAGTACAAAAATGCAGCATTCCAGCACATATTATTTGGACTGTCTGTCAGTCAGGAAATCAATCAATCAATCTCAGCTTTCCAGTCGGTCATTTAATCAATCAATCAGTCTGTTAATGACGGGATCATTAGCAAGAGGTGCAGTACTTAGGATTTGGACTGACAGTCAATCAATCAATCAATCAGTTAGTAAGTCAGTCATTCAATCAGTCAATTAGCCAGTCAGTCGTTTAATCAATCAATCGGTCAATTCTGTCTTAAGTAAACAAAAGCAGCTCTTACAATTTGGACTGTCAGTCAATCAGTCAGTCAATCAATTAGTTAATTGATTGGTCAGTCATTCAATCAGTCAATTAGCCAGTCAGTCGTTTAATCAATTAATCGGTCAATTCTGTCTTAAGTACACAAAAGCAGCTCTTACGCTTTGGACTGTCAGTCAATCAGTCAGTCAATCAATTAGTCAGTTATTCAATCAGTCAATTAGCCAGTCAGTAATTTAATCAGTCAGCCAATCAATCAAACAGTCTGCAACTCAGTCAATCAGTTATGCAATCAGTCAATCAAACAACACACAGCGTATATGTAGATACATGTGATTGAATATGTTTATCTGCAACGCGAACATATTTTTGAATATAAATGGAATCCCCAAAGGAGTTGATGATAATCGCTCGACGCATTCGTGACATATGTTAAGAGCATAAAAACAGTCGTAATCTGTTTGGTATGAAAAAAAAAATATTAAAACAAAGAAAAAAGAGAGGGCGAAAAAATGATTGTGCTGCTGATTGATTTGAGCAGCGTTCAGCGGGGGTGGAGACGAGGGAGGGCGGGGTGGGGGGGGGGGGGGGGGGGGGGGGGAGGTCGAGTTCGAGAAGTGGGCAAACCCTGCATCAAATCCCAGCACAGGCACAATTGCAGTTATTACATATGCAAACTAGCTGTGTGTGTGTGTGCGAGTGTGTGTGTGTGTGTGTGTGTGTGTGTGTGTGTGTGTGTGTGTGTGTGTGTGCGTGTGTGTGTGTGTGTGTGTGTGTGTGTGTGTGTGTGTGTGTGTGTGTGTGTGTGTGTGTGTGTGTGTGTGTGTGTGTGTGTGTGTGTGTGTGTGTGTGTGTGTGTGCGTGTGTGTCGTATCTATAAATGTAAGCACGTTTATGCCTGGCTCTGCGAGGGATGTAGCTGAAACTCACACACACACACACTCGCACACACACACACACACACGCACAGCCGGAGCTATACGAAATGTCGCCTGAATTTTTGTACCCGCTGCTTTCATGTAATTCGCTTTAGTTTGCTTCTTCTTTTCTGCTCTGCTCTGCTTTGTTGTGTGTGTGTGTGTGTGTGTTTTTTTCGTGTAAATAAAATAGATGAAAATCAATTTGACGTGTCTTGAATTCTGTTTAAGGTTTAAAGAACTCGTTTCACCAAAAAGATAAAAACAAGCCAGCGACAAGCAACAAGGGGCAGCAGGGCAACAGGGGCAGCAGGGAGCAGGGGCAACAGGGCGCACTAAGAGCGAACGAGGGAGGGCGAGACAGGCAGAGAGACAGAGACAGCGTGCTAGCGAGAGCGAGAGCGAGAACGTGAGAGTCAAATGGAAAACAACTCAAAACTCGAACTCGATTTTTTTCTTAATTTTTTTTTTGTTTTTTTGTGTTGTGCTCGTTGGTGGGGGAAGGGGGCAAAGCAAAGCGCAGCACATCACATCACACACACACAAACACACACACACACACATATACATAAATATATACTACACACATACATACTTATGCGTAAACATATGTAATGTTTCCGTTGGACCCCAGCGACGTTTTCTTTTATTTTTCTATTTTTTTTTTCGGTTTACTTTTTTTGTGATTAAAAATATGGGTTTTACCTAGCATTAAGGGCTGCTCATAATTACATCAATCTCTTTGCCATTCGAACAAGCCGTATCGTTTGCATAGGTGTGCGTGCGTGTGTGTGTGTGTGTGTGTGTGTGCGAAGAAACGCTTAAGAATGACCGTGGAATGAAGTAAAAACAAATCAAATGTTGCAGCTCTTGGTCGATTTGTCACATGATTTACGAATAGATACTCCTGCTGATGATATCACAGCTGCCATGAAATAGACGAGCTCATCGGTTGAGCACGAAGTTCAGGGTGAGCTCTATTTATAATACTTTTACGATAATAGTTTGCATGTCTGATGAGTAAATTCAACATATGTGTAGGCTCAGATAGTCAGTTTATCAATTAGTTGGTCAGTCAATCAGTCAGTCAGTCAATCAGTCAGTCAGTCAATCCATCAGTCAGTCAGTCAGCCAACAAGTCAGTCAATCATCCAATAAAAAGTCATACAAAAAGTGAGCCAATCAATCAATCAATCAGTCAATATTGCAGTCTATTCAGTCAGTCAATCAATCAATTAATCCGTATAGTCAGTCACTTAGCCATTCAATCAATTAGTCAGTCGTTCAATTATTCAACCAATCAATCAGCCAACCAGTCAGTCAATCAAATAATCAAGTAGTCAGATGGACGTTCAATCAGCCATTCAATCATTCAGACTGACAGTCTATCAAATATGCAGTCAGTCGTTCAATCAGTCAGCCAAGCAATCAATCAGCAATATGGCTGTCAATCAGTTTGTCAATTACCCAGTCAGTCATTCAATCCATCAATTTATCAGTCATTTACTGCTCAATCATCAACCAGTGACCAATCAATCAGCCTGACAGTCAATCAATTAATTAGTCAGTCGTTTAAACAGGCATTCAATTATTCAGTCTGACAGTCAACCTACTGACTGTTAGTCAGTCAATCAAATTGTCAGTCAGTCGATTAATCAGTCCATCAATCAGTCAATCAGTCCTGCAGCCCTGTCAAAAAGGGTATTTAGTCTTCAGCCAGAGGCACTTAATCAGCTTCAGCCAGATCCGCACATGCTTCATGGTCAGTTTATTAACTAGGTGGCCAGTGTCTCGATTACAATAGCAAATGCCTAGAGTTAATTCAATCAATATTTGAACTGATTGACCGAATTTGATTGAACCGATGCAACAGCAGCCTACGAAGACAATACAATTTCACAGAGAGGAGCTGGTGGGCGGCGGAATGGGAATTGACGTAGTTTATATGATATGCTGCTCGGATGCAATGCTGACAAAGTCAGGACAACGGTAGCAGCCGTCAGTCAGTCAGTCAGTCAGTCAGTCAGTCAGTCAGTCAGTCAGTCAGTCTGTCAGTCAGTCAACGGCATAGCCAAAGCCGAAGCACAACAATGAACAAATCATCATGAACTAAGAGCAAACAACACACAACAACGACAACAACGACAACAACAACGAGAAGCGTCATCATCACCCAACACCATGTCGCCCCGAATAGCCCAGATGGTGGAATGGGCAGGGCGGCGGGGCGGCGGGGCTGCGGGGCGAAGGTACAAAACAATAAGGCGTCGAAAATGCTCTGCGAATGCAGCAGACGTGCGGCGGTGCGCGGCAACATCTCAAGCAGCGCACAAAAGGCAACAAGCTACGACACACAATGACAACAACAACAACAACTGCAACAACAACAACAACAACAACAACTGCAACAACAACAACTACGACAACAACTGCAACAAAAGGAGTCCCGACCGCGCTGCGCTGCGCTGCGGCAGGCAACCAGAAACCGTACCGAGCCAACAAAACTATTTGCTCAGCACATACCCTGTAGACAGCGAACAGCCGTTAAGGGGTATGCCAGGCAGCAGGTAGAAACAAGTGGCAAGCATGCCCGACTGGCAGATACCCTAAACATGCTAGCTTACTTCAACACTTCACTTCCTTTGCCTGGGCAGAATATTCCTGATTAATGCCCGACTAGCAGATACCCTTTACATCTAGCTTACTTATACACTGCTTTGCAGAATATTCCTGATTAATGCCCAACTAGAAGTTACCCATTAACTGTTAGCTTACGGTATTTCACTTGACTAATGCTCGACTGGCAGATATCCTAAACATGCTGTCCTTTGGCTATGAAGAACAGTCTTAAAAATGCCCGACTGGCAGATACCCTAAACATGCTAGCTTACTTCTAAAGCTCTTTCCTTTGCTGGAGACAAGATGTTCGTTTAATGCCCGACTGGCAGATACCCAAAACATGCTAGCTTACTTCAACTTCACTTACTGTCTTGATTAACTTCGGTGCTTATAGTCCGATCTTTAGGAAATTTACAGAGCACGTGCTTGAGTTTCAGAGATTTGATATCTTTGGGAAATTCCACAATGAAAATGCCTCGAGCTCAAGCTTATATCGAAGAATCTGTAGAAGAATTCATTTCAAGCATGTTTCACACATTTCGCATTTTGTGAGTGAAAATACTCTAGCTCTAGCTCTATGGAAGAATCTTTGGGGAAATTCGAATCAAACGTTTCATTTCGTATTGACTATGGAATTCAAAGGTTTTAAGATTGAAATACATTTTTACGAAACCTAACCTAAAAACGGCGGTTTTGGAAATTCACTCGGAAAATTTTTGCTTATCAACCGATCGGCTTCTAACTCGTTTTCCAAGATCTTTCTCCACATTTATTTAAGCCTAGCTTTATCAATATTATTATTAAATCATGCTGTTTATTCTCTCCTCTAAGCTGGTATATTTTGAGGTTAGGTAATCAGCTGTGGACGACCTAACCTCAATGTGCCGCTAGACTCAACCCGGGCCAGACCGAAGCCGAATGCAATTGTCGCTGCGATTTTTACTGTGCATTTTCTACCTGCGTACACACACACACACACGTACACACATGTACACACCTGCAACGAGGCTGCAAGGAGCGAGAGAGCGAACCACTGAACCGGAACCAGTTCCAACAAAAGAGATTGATCTGGTCTAAGCTAAGATAATTGCACAGAGTCGACAAGATCTGAGAGATGTCAGAAAGAGAGAGAGAGAGTGGGAGAGTGGGAGAGAGCGAGAGAGAGAGAGTGGGAGAGAAAGAGTGAGTGGGATAGCGAATGTTGAGTGGATTGGGAGCAATTAAGGCGACTTTAAATAAGTATGTGTTGATTCTTCACACTCCAACGCACACACACACACACACACACACACACACACACACACACACAGACACACATACAACCAAACAGACAAACACACACACAGAGACGCACGCACAGGCCAGGCTTTAGGTCCTGCGTCTGGTCGAAAAGACTAGCCGCAAAAACAACCCTCGACCCCGCGTTTACCAGCGCCCCCCTTCCAACCCCCTACCCCACCGCATCTCATGCTCCTTCTCCCAACCCCCTGTCAACGGGTGGCGCGCAATAAAGATGTGAAATGTGAACGAACCGGAAGCTGCTAAGGCAATGCCTGGCAAAGCGTGCGAGCGACAGAGATAGAGAGAGAGAGAGAGAGAGAGAGGGCGAAAATGAGCGTGTGTGACAGTGAGAGAGAGAGAGAGGAAGAGCGAGAGAGGCCGAACGTGGGGTGGGGCAGACGAGCGAGCGAAGGTTGGGCTCTAGCGTGTTGGCATTGTTGTCGCCGTTGTCGATACACGGATTGATGTGGATGCTCTTAATGCCCGACAGCCCGCAAAATCATTGACAGGGCTTTTCACAATCATTTACGCCCATTTTGGTAGCACTTGCCCCACCACCCGCCCTTCCTCCCACCACCAGAGCCCTACATACGTACAGTTCACGTTACCGTTACCGTTACCGTTACCGTTACCTTGGCAATCAGGGCTTTAATTAGTTTAAGTGCTTGCGATATTCATGCATAACAAACCCTTGAATAAACATATACACACATCGGTGTGTGTGTGTGTGTGTGTGTGTGTGTGTGTATAAGTGGGCGATTGTTGTGACTTTATTGTAATGCGAAATTACGAATTATAAGGTTATGTTATCGATAGCTACTTAAAACGTAGCACACCGAAGCTTAGATACCCTTTACTACAGCTGAGATCTCCGATTTCCTATGTTTGTGCAAATACAAATACAAATATAATATCAATTATCAGTCAAGTAATGCGTGGAATATATTATAGATCTTCTACCCAGAAATCTATCTATCTATCTTTCTATCTATCCATCTATATCTGAACTAAATCGTTTTACCAATTGAGCTCGATCTCTATTTTAATGCTTTTATTTCTCTTTTATTATTTGAAGAAATGCTCTTTAAATATCCATAACAGATAACACACACACACACACACACACACACGCTTGGGGAAATGCCAGAGAAAATGGTTTTCTAATTATAGTTGCCCCAATGAATGGAAACAGACAATTTGTGTTTGAGCCCAGGCATTTTAGGTTTTTCCCCCGACGCCGCAGTCTATGTGTGTGTGTGTGTGTGTGTGTGTGTGTGTGTGTGTGTGTGTGTGCGTGTGCCCCCCTCTACAAAGCGAGCGCATCGCTAAAGTATTTGATATAGAGCTGGTAACGCCTTCGATAACTGTAGTTGAGCACTTATCGTTGCGTCTCTTGGGGTGGACACACATGCCTATGTGTGTGTGCGTGTGTGTGTGTGTGGGGGAGGAAGGGGGTTTGTTAATTGTCCATGAGAAAACCCGTTGCATATCTATGCCAAACTTTAAGGCACAAAGCAACTCTCTTTACCTTAAAACGATTTCCAATTAAAATTTGGGCTACCGCTGACAACACAACAACAACAAGAACAACAACAAAAAACTCTAATGATTTCAGTGTGCGATAAGAAGTGACGATTGCGTTGGCGTCGACGCCGACGCCGACGTCGCTGTTGCTGTCGACGCAGCAAGCAAAAGAAAATAAAAATGCGCTTGTACTTTAATTGGTTTCAACGCTGGCTAAAGCAAACGCAAGAGCAACCCCCCACTTTGTGCTCTTAGCATAAACACACGCACAAGTAAACTGTGTGCGTGTGCGTGCGTGTGTGCGGCTTTCATGTGCATGCGACATGAAGCTGCAGCAGACGCTGGCGCTAGACGCAGCAGCAGCAGCAGCAGCAGCCGCAGATGTACACATGAATTTTTAACAGCTGATAGCATTTGAAATTTATGACAACGCTGCTGACTCTTAAGCACATCGAAGACACGGCCTAAGCACTATGCCGCTCTTGCACTTAATTTCTCTCACTCTCTCACACTCTGCTGCGCTCTTTAACGCTCTTTGGCTAAATAATTTTGACAGCGCTGTCGATGCTGTTTGTTGTTGCTGCTGCTGCTGCGACGCTGCTGCTGCTGCGGCGACTGCGGCTGCTGCTGCGGCTTCGGCTGCTGCTACTGCTGGCTGCTGTTGTTTTTTTTTTTCCCTGTCTGCGTTCGTCTTTAGTTTTGTTTGCTTCTTGTGTTTCTTTTTTTTTTTTTTTCTTGCAGTGGCGAACAGGGGGCAACTATCAACTTCCGAGTTGGGGGATCGTGTTTATCTGTTTAAGTCTGATCAAAGCATAAATACACATGTTGTTGTTGTTGTTGTTGTTGTTGTAAATTCTATTGTCACGTCGCATCTCACGGCGTTGCTGATAAGCAGCAAAACAGCTGACAACACACTGTGGGGGATCGGGGATAAGAATGCGCTTGTACGTACGATTGCATGTGTTTGTGTGTGTGTGTGTGTGTGCGTGTGCGTTTACCTGTGAACAGCTGCACATGTAAGGGTCCCGGCGTCTTGTTATACTCTTGCAGAGGGCTCTACAGTTTTGTCACGAAATCTGTAACGCAATAAAATAAATTTCGAATGAATATATGTATGTACGTATGTGTGTGTACATAATAACAAAATAATTTAAAAAAAAAAATTGAAAAAAAAATTCCTTAAAAAGTAGAAGAAACATATCATATTTGGTAATAATTATTATTATCAAATATAATCATTTTAGTTGAAAATCTATTTTATTTTATTTATAAATTGAAATATACATATATACATACATATATATGTACATATATACATATGTAAATGTATCCATATCTGCAAGAGTATTAAATTGTCGGCACACTCTAAATAACAATACGTTACTTGTTTCTGTTCTTGTCACGAATTATTTTCTTTATAGATCTGGCAGCGCTGAGCGTTAGGCAAATCTGTTCCCAACATAATCCATGCTTAATTGTTGGCCACCCTTCAATTTTGTTGGTTGCCGCCGCTGCCGCAACCTCCCCTTGGCGACACACAAGCACGCACACACACACACATATATATACATATACAGTTATTTTTTGTACTGTGTGTGTGTGTTGCATGTCTTGATAGATACACAAGCGTCGATTAATAATTATGAAACAAAATGGGCAATAATTACTTCAAACGGCTCCGGCGAAACCTTAGAAAGTTTTTGTGGCCCTCTCACCTGCCACAAAGACGAACAGCGACAGGCAACAACAGCCAAGTCTTCGTTCGTCTCGGGATTAGCCCAGAAAAGTAACTCAATACCAAAACCAATAGCAACGGAGCGCCTCAGAAAATATCCAAAGCGAATGAGTGAGCGAGCGTGCAAATAATACATGTAAACTGTAGTAAGAGCGGGAGAGCGAAGTTGATTGTCAGCAGTGGGCAGGGAGCGGGGGGAGGCAGGCGAATAGGTGATGACATAGCCGTGAACAGAAGAAGCAGCCAGGCAATATCGTTGCACTCACACACACAGAGAGAGACACACACATACGCACACACACACACACACACAGACGGCGTGCATGCAAAGACACGGAGCAACATTTGATTGTCGGCTATGCACAACAAACCAGTATAATTGCACAAACACAAACACACACACACACACAGACGCACACCAGAAACAAGCACAGGCGAAGAGATGGGCTGAAATTGACTGGCGAGTGAAGGGCGCTCTCTTTGGCTTAAAGGACGAGACGTAAAACAAAACGCGCGACAGCAGTGCTGCAGCGCAGCAGGCAGCACAGAAATTCACAAAAAAAAAAAAGCAAAAAACAAATAGAAATAATAATAATCAAATGGAAGCTAAAACATCAGCAAGCGCAAGCGGGCGTCCCAATTCAAACGGCGTCTCCTACCTCACCGCCCCCGTCTGTCCACTCGTGGGGGCCAGCTACCACGCGGCTGAAAAATGTTCGCTCATTTGTATTATGTATTTTGTCTCTCTGTGTGTGTGAGTGTGTGTGCGTGTTTTATACTGACCTCGACGTCGCTGCCAGCGTCGAACGTGGCGTCGCAGCTCTTTGTTATGCGTTCGTTCTCTTTTGGCTAGGCTTTTGGTTTTCTCTTGCTTCCGCCCTTGTTGCTGGTTGTTGTTGCTTGTGTGCCGCTTGCTCAGCGCAATGACTTGTGGGACTTGTTGGCAGCGACGCTAACGTCGGCGTCGTCATTGTTCCGCGCAGCCGTTTAACTTTGCGTTTGTGTTTATAAATGTGTACACATACATACATATGTATATGTGCGAGCGTACGTGTGTGCTATGGTCTCATTTCAAGATAATCGTCACACGAATGAGTTGCTGATGTTTTTGTTGTTATTATTGCGCGCTGCTTGTTGCTGGTTGTTGTAATTTAGCGGTTTTGCTTTGTTTTTTTTCTCTCTCTCTTGTTGTTGTTGCTTTTGTTGTGTTCTTACTATATTAGCTTATAAGCTCCATGTATGAATGTAATGGCCTTTTTCATGCATGTTCTGCATGTACATACATATGTATGTATGTATGTAGGTACACACACTTATGCATGCATGTTACTTGTATGACGTATGACATACAGTTACCATATTTTGATACACAGCAACAATTTCTTCTTAGTCCTCTTTACAAGAGTATTTCAACTTCTTTATGCCCAAAGGCAACAAAAATAAACAGTAACAAAAAATATACATACATACATATGCATGTATATATGTATTTTGTTTTACTTCCCACTTCTTTGTGTCGCTTTGGGTTTTTTTCCTCTCCCGCTCGCTCGCGCTGTTGTTGAAGTTGCCAGACTTTTCGCCTATTTGCTGCTTAATGTTATTAGATATGTATGTTATTGTGTTTTTTTGTTGTTTTTTGTTGTTTTGTTTTGTTTTTGTTTTATTCTGATGATATTGTGTTTAGCATTTTAACCCATTTAAGTGTTAAATACTTAATGTCAACAGGTTCTGACCCAAATGCGTAGACAAATCCGCCAATAGGTAAACAAAAAAGTATATATGTATATATGTACGAATGTGCATATGTATATGTATGCACGTATATACATAATGAGTGCGTGTATGTGTGTGCGCGCGCGTGTGTGCCTGTGTGCTTGCACATACAGACAAAGCGTTCGCCTTGCTCGGGAAAATGTTCACTTAGGGCATTTATATCCGGGAATCAGTTATGTATGTATGTATGTATGTATGTATGTACACACATACATCACACATATGTATGTAGATAGATAACCGGACATTTATTTGTGACCTTTTGCTAACTGCGTTGATCTTGGATTCAATTGGGGGATCGGGGCGTCTTGACAATCCGGCTTCAATGCGAGAAAAATTCATTTATTTACGGATAAATTGTTCATATCGTATACAAAGAAATAAACAAAAAGAGTGGCAGCTCTGGCCGTGCGGGCGCGTGTTGTTTTTGTCTGTTGCTTAACAATAAATTGGAAGCAGCAGAGGCAGCAGCAACAACAGATACACACACGCACACACACAGAAACACATATACATACATGTACACATAATTTCAATTTGAATTCGAAATGCGCCGCAACAATAATTGTTGCTGTTTTCGCAACAACAACAACAACAACAACAATAACAATAAGAACAAGCGAAAACGAAAATCGAAAACAACAAAAACAATGTCAACGCTTTCGTTGGCGGCAACGTCAACGTCAACGTCGACGTCGAAGGTGACGTCGTCAACAGCATCAGCAGCAGCATCATCACAGCACGCCTGCTGTCAACGTCAACGTCAGCGTTAACGTCAGCGTTGGCAGCAGCAACACCAGCTCACAGTCACTTAGCGCAACAGCGACGTCGACGTCGGCAGAGGCGTTAACGTTAACGTATTTACTGCGACTGCGGCGTTAACTTCCGGCATTTTCTTGCTCATCTCAAAGTTGTTATTATTATTATTATTATTAAAGTTAACACGACACGTATTGCAATAAACATGTATGTATGTATAACAACAACATGCGCACCGAAGTTTGGAAATGCATTTGCAAAGAGACCGAAAAGGGAGCACGAACTGAAATTTAATTAAATAAAATAAACCAGCCCATAGACTACAAACACTTGCATATCTGTAATGTACACGCATGTACATGTGCATGTATGTATGTGTGTATGTGCATGTGTGCAGGCAGGTATGCATGACCATTTGTACAGCGTACCCGCCAGCTTTTCAAACAAGATATCAATCGAAAATATGCTAAGAATGCTCTCATATGAGAGCGTGTGCTCGGTGTAGGGGACACGAGGCATACATATGTACATACATAAGTATGTATGTATCAAAATCAGTCGAAAAACGCATTTAAAGCCACTCAAAAGCTAAACAGAAGACCATAAAATGTAATGTTTTTCACGCCATCGCTGCCGCCGGCCACGGCCTGGGCCACCACGACAAGCGGGGTTGGGCAGACGGGCGGACCGCAGGCCACTTGCGTACTATTACTACACACACACACTGACTCACACACACACACACACACGCACGCATTTTGTGTTACAGTTTCAATTTAAAAGGAATACGTTCCCACACGCACGCATACACACACACACACGCGCACACACATATGCACACATACACGCAAACACAAAGAGGCATCATCATCAATTTCTAAATGCAAAACCGCAATAAAAAATACAACAAGTAAAATATAAAAGCAATAACACAACACTGAACTGTGCACACACTCACTGGCCCAACAGCAGAGAGCAGAGAGAGGGGCATAGCCCAGATCTTTGCTGAATAACAGTTTATGTTAGATGATTTCAATATAAATATTTAGATCAAATAAAAAGATTTGAAGTTAAGATGGTATTTAATTGTTTATTACATTTTAGGCTCATTTAAGAGCGCCAAAATACATAGCTAATATGATGGCTGCCTGGCATAGGGTACCCAAAACACAGCAAAGCAAGAGAAGTCAAAGCCGAAATCGAAGTACACACGAAGTAGTGAGAGCCGCACAAAGACACCAGCAGAGATGATAGACAGAGAGCGCGCGCGAGAGAGACAGTGTAACGAGAGAGTGAGAGATTAAGAGGCGGCAATATGGTGTGGCTGGCAAACGTTGCGCTCTGTTTCGGTTTGTCGAGTGTTGATGAATTTACGGGAGTGTAAGGGGGCTTGGGTTGGTGAAGGTTGTCGAGAGAGAGAGAGAGAAAGAGCGGGGGGGTCATAGAGTAATGACGAGGACGACGCACGCACGTGTAACCGTAAAAAGAGTAAACGAGTAGTGGGCCGTGCATGTGGGTGACTGTGTGCATGTGCGTGTGTGTGTGTGTGTGTGTGTGTGTGTGTGCGTGCGTGTGTGCTTGTTTATGTATGTAGTGTGTATTTACTTTGCAAAATAACAAGCCAGGGGCAAGCTGGGTGACAAGATAATTGTTGGTGCGCGAAAGTGTTTGGTAATGCGACTGAGAACTATCCGTTAATTTGGCTCTGTGTATGTGTATGTGTGTGTGTGTTTGCATTAAATAATTTAGATTCAGTTACTTTTGATGTCATATCTGATGATAACTCGATGATAAGCGTTTACTGCTCTCGCAAACATGCGACCTCTCTTCTCGTTAGACTGCGGATAGGCGAATGACCCAACGTTTTGACTCAGCAGTTATATCAATGTCACATCCATGCCAAAAAATAAATAAAAGCAAAAGCAAAAACAAAAACAGAAACAAAAACAAAGCAAAACAGCTAAAACTTCCACAATATTTCGGGCATTAGCCCCTTGTATAAAATGCTTGTTTCAAGGTAATTTTTTATTTCAAATTATTTGTTTTTGTGTTTTGTTTTTTATTTAGTCCGTTTTGTAAGACAATGAGTGAGTTTTCTATCTAGCCAAAATGCCCTATTTCACAAATGTGGCTCAACTTGACTTTATCGAATGCAATGAGTAAAATAGTACAATAGGATAAAACGGGTATACTCAACGATGCACGAGTGTAATTACCGATTAAAACGGTCGAAACGGGTTCTTCTCTTTAATGTATTTGTATGCGGTGACTCTTAAGCTGTGCTCTTTAGGGCTTCTAGTATAACATATGTATGTATATATGTATGTATGTATTTAAAATTGATATCAACTAATTCATATTTAAGATAAAGAGGTTTAAAATATGCATAACTAAACATAAGCAAACAATCAAATCATGTTTAAACAGGCTTAAAACACAATCGGATAGAGCATTAACTGTGCACAGTTGGCGCAAGGGAACATACATAC